TGGCCTACCCTAGTAGTATATAAAGACCCTATTGGTTATGGTCCCCAATATACTAAATCAAATATAGTTCTCTTTTCTCCCCATCTGAATTGAGAATGACGGTCCCATATGAGAAATAAGGCGATTTAGTTGAGGAAGACCATAAAACCGACCCCGTTCGTGATCAAGGATGTGTTCGTGATCCAGATCGTGTTCATGGAGATGAGATCCGGAGATTGATGATAAGGTATTCCGCATCTAGAAACTCAATCTCAATGGATCCAGGTATTCCTTATAATATTTAATTATAATCTAGCGCGATGTTGATTTTCCTAGAATTAAAGTATGTTCTAGGTTAATTGTTATTGAATTTATATTATGTGATTATAAATTCCTACAAGGACGACATCCACAACCGCCTTTTTTAGTTCATGAAACCGATTGCTTGATCGGACAAGCAGTGGGGCCCTTCTAGTGTATGTTATCTGCCGCTGAAGGCGAGACCGTAATAAGCCACAACACACGTCTGGATGATGGTGATCTCTTGTCGGGTTAAATTTTTAACCAAGAGTCCCAAATCGGTCCATGACTTCAAGAAGAAGATCATCAGGAGCAGACCTACAACGACGAGATGATCCCAACCAACAGATTGAGCTTGCGGGTGATGACACAGAAATGCGTCCCCAATATGGCGCTGACCACTCGATCGCCTTCTTGAGGTGTGTGTGTGTCTTGTGCGGGTGTCAAGGGCGTCAAGTGAGAAAGAGAATAAAGAAAAATAAAGGAGAAAGAAAGAGGGTTCTCCATGCAGAAAGATGAAAAGGAAATATAAAGAAGAACAAAAGAGAGAGAAAGGGAAAAGGTGGGAGAGTTAGACATATTACAATCACATTAAATCCACTACATTAATTGTGATTTTTTATAGTATATTTCTTATTATTTACCTGATCTGCCATATATCTACAATTAAGTTTTCAATTTGTATATGTAAAATTATTTAGTAATAGGCTCGATATAAATTATTTAGTTATAGGATCGACATAAAAATATAAAAAATGCTACAAGAACATAATAAGTTTACATAGAGGTGTACCTAAACACTCACATGGAATGGGGTTCACTTGATTTTTTTATTTTTGATAGGACCCACTTATTATGAGTGTTATATACTCATCTATGTACAATATTATGTACCTATAGTATTTCTCAAAAAATATTGTTGTCAATGCTAATAATGTATATGTGATTGTCGGCTGAGAGGATTTTGGGAGGATTGGGTGTAGGAAGACAAACCCGATGGATCGCTTGGCATGCTCCTCTAGCTGATGTGGTTAAAATTAATACGGATGGATTTTTCATTCCGTCTACAAGTATGGCAACGGCGGGAGGACTCGTGCGTGATGATAGAGGCCACTGGCTTTGGGGCTTTGTCATAAACATTGGGTATACTACTATCACAGGCGCCGAGCTATGGAGTTTATTCCAAGGACTCCAACTAGCTTGGGATTTGGTGTATCGGAATATTGTCGCGGATGTAGACAACCAAAGTGTAGTCAAAATGGTTATGGGGTCCTTAGTTGAGAGTTGGGGGGTGCATGGCTCTATAGTTTGGGCTATTCGAGAGATGATGCATCGAGAATGGACAGTGCGCATTGCGCACTGTTATCAGGAAGCAAATTTTGCTGCGGATTGCTTGGCAACGTTAGCTCACTCATGTCTTAATGGTTGTCAGCGACTACTTGATCCACTAATAGAAGTCAAGCCGTGGTTAACGCACGACGTATTTGGCGTTGCTTATCCACGGAATACCACTATCTAGAGGTGTTAGGCTCCGACCTCCTTAATTTCTTTGTACCAAAAAAAAAAAAAAAAAAAAAAAANAAAAAAAAAAAAAAAAAAAAATGTATATGTGATTGTACAGGGAAAGTGTGAAATTACCGGTCTAGCTATAATCTCAGCAAACCCCACCTGATGCACAAATCAAGAAAGAGCCCATGTAACAAAAAATGTGGATAAAACGCAAATGTTACCAATTGGCAACTCATGCCTAAAACAACAAAATATATACTGACAGACAACATTTAGAGCATCTCCAATGTAACTTTTGACATTATAAAAAGTCATCCATATCATCAACTTTTGAAAGTGTGTTTCTATTTTTTTCTCCAATGCATCTTGTCATGAACTCTTTCATGATGAGGTGGATGTCATTTAATGTTGACAATGTTGAGCACACTTTCTAATATCTAACACCATGTTAAACATGATGACTCATCAATTTACTTTATATTTGTTTTAATTTTTTATTTTTTTTTGTATCAATGAATTATTTAATTGGTCCACATATACAAATATCTTTTTATCAAATTGATGCATTGGAGATACTAGTTTCATTAAAATTTTTAGTCTTTTAACATTATTCCAATGTGGATTAACATTACAATCACTAATTGACATGTGTTAAAAATAATGATCTTTCACACTTATAGCATTGGAGATGCTCTTACAAGTCCAAAACTCCCAAAACTTTGATACCGCTTGAATTACATGACCATCTGCTAGTGGTAATTAATGGATCTTATATTATGCACAAATAGCTCGTATAACACTATTACGCCGGCCATATATATAATATTTTCCAACTAGAAATTAGAGAACTAATCTTTTAAGAAAGGCCAAACAGGCCAACCTAGCCCATAAGAAACCTTGATGGGTCACACGGCAAAATTTCAAAAATGATCTACTATGTTGTTCATTTTCCGAAAAAGGTCCATCATCTAAGGCGTCATCAAGAATGATCCACTAAGTTGTCAATTTAATCAAAATTCGTACAATAACCAACACAGTGTACTAAAAGTGATCATTTTTTGTTGCCATATTTAGTACATTATGTTGTCTTTGTACGAGTTTTGATTAAAATGACAACTTAGTGGATCATTCTTGAAAACGCCCTACATGATGGACTATTTTCAGAAAATGACCTACATAGTGTACTAAAAATAAAATTTAGTCTGGGTAACACAGAAGGCGCGATAGGATAAACATAGTCCAATGAAAAGCGAGAAAGACTCATGAAAAGGGAAATTTTTATTTCTCCCACACGTTTTGTCTTTAATTGCATCTATACTACCTATATGAAATATATTGCATCAATATCTAACTCTACCAAAATAATTAGTATTAGCATGAAAAAAAAAACGGTCATATCCCCTTAATTTGTGTAACTGATGAGATTACATATGCCATAATTTTTTGTTACCAAAAAATAATAACTGTCTTTCTCCATAAATAGGACAACCGATATAATAACTATCAAAGGACCTTCCTAAAATCACACACATATATGAATTCGCTGGAAAAGAAAAAAAAAGGTAAGTGAATATAAACTATTTTTTAGGAATCTGTTGTTATCAACATGGAAAGAAATATAAATTAAATTTTAAATGTACTCTCTCTCTCTCAAAATAAATTAAAAACATGATTAATAAAGATACAGTATATACACGATCACAACTTATGTATATTTTAGGTATATTTTATGTATATGTGGGATCTGAATGAGATTCGCAGTTCAGGGATCGAGTGTATATCTTAGGTATATTTTATGTATATGTGGGTTCTGAAATCGATTTTATGTATACCTTAGGTATATTTTATGTATATGCGGTCAATCTTCTTGTTCTTGAGCGCTTTCTTGAGAAGGGCCGTAGTGGAGGGCTTTTTTGGATGCTACATTACTCGGACGGAAACATATACTGAAAATATACGGTATATACCCATAACATATACTCGGTCTCTCTCTCTCTCTCTCTCTCTCTCTCTCTCTCTCTCTCGGCGCTGTTCGGGTCACGGGCTGCTTCTCGGTCTGTTCGAGGGGATTGTGTGGGTTGCTTCGGGGCGATGACTCTCGGCGATGACAGAAAAGGAGGCATGCGATGCCGGGCTAAGGCGTGGCTGTTTGCGGCTGCTGGAGGTGGTTTAACGACTAACGGATTCGTGAAGGGTGAATTGTAGAAGAAGAAGAAAATTAAAGAGGAAGAACTGTAGAAGAAGAGAAAAAAAAAATAAAGGACGAACTGTAGAAGAAGAAGAAGAAGACGAGAGATGGAGAGAGAGAGAGAGAGTGAGAGTGCTGGGGATATTAAATCCCATTAAGTTAGGTAACTAATCCCAAGAAATGTGGTGGGGATATTAAATCCCATTAAGTCAGTTAATGACATAATGTGGTATTTGTGCAAATAAAATCACTGAATTATATGAATATGTTAATATTTACAAAGTTGTTATATTTATGTAATAAAAAAAAGAACTGATTGTACAGTGTGCGATTTCCTCTAAATAATCTCATGAGATAGAGAATATGACAATGGTTACTTTGGGGACAAGAGTGATGTGACGTGACACATAAGAGGTAAATAGAAGCAATTACACAAATACATTCCCACTACAGTAACAACACATCCTTCTCTCTAATTATTTTGTACTCTACACATCCTCTCACTCCACTCGATTCTAATTTAATCGTCGGGTTTTTGAATATAAGTTTTTGATTGGATAATTTAGTTTTGATTATTTTTTTAGTTAACTGAAGTTAATTTTAAAAAATTTAGTTAAGTTAGGTTTTAATGAGACTATAACTTTTCATTAAAATAAGATTTAGAATAAAATTGTTAAAGTTTTTTTGATTTAAAATATGAGAGGTGATTGGAAGAGATAGATAATTAAATTTAAGTGAATTAAAGTTGATGTTATGTGTGAGAATGTTGATTGATATTATTTTATTATTTTAAAATATTTAAAAGAATTGAAGTTAAGTTAAATTTGAATTAGATTTAAATTGTGATTGGAAAATTTTAATGACAATCTATATCAAGAACAACCTAACACCATGGGGAAAACCCCATTGGAGGGAAAGCGTGGACAAAAACAAGCCTATATAAAAAAATGTCCTCCCATAATCCTTTTTCTTTTTTAGAATTCTCTAATTTTTCCTTTCCAAACATGGCAAAAGAATAAAAAGTCTGAAATTCATTTTTATATCTCTTGTGGCACGAGTCTTTACAGCCTGAATACGTTGAGGCCCCAGAAATAGAAGAACACATACAGAAATCACATACATACATGATATATACCTAATATATTAAATATCCGGTTTAAAAATGGCCATGACATGTAACGGTACAAAATATTACAGAAATATACATCTGTAAGATATATATAATAAGCTCCTCTAGAAGCTTTACATCACCAATTCCAACTATCGATATACATATATTGCCTATTATCCGCGAGTAGACTTCTTAATGATTGATCTCTGCATTGGAGGAAAATTTCATCTCTACTCATAATTAAGCATCAACTCAAGCAACGGTTTTACTTCATCCATGCCACCTGCCCAACTTATCCTGCAAAAATATTCATCCAAAGAGGAACAAAAAAAAAACCATTTATTCATTTCCTCCAAGTCATTAATTCTCATGTGAACATTAACTATAATGTATGAGTGGTACTTAGATTGCAGTTTTTAGTTTTTGTAAGTAAAAACGCTGACTGCAATGACAGCTCCAAAAAAACCACAAATTGTGAAGAATAAGAAAACTTAACTATCCCACACAGTTTCTGGTTTAGACACTGTAAGTTGGAAAATTTATTACCACCCTAAGAAAAAAGGGAATCAACGTGTAAAAATTTCGGTTGCAATATCCTTTGTGTGACTTGTAATGTATGTGAGACTAATCCAGGAAAGGGAGCATGCATAATTATATAAGAGAGCAAAAATGATAATCAAATCAATGAAGGTTCATAAGGTAATTAACAAGAAAATTGGAAAAGCAACAGAAAATGGAGAATTGTGATTTTAGTACATGCTTCATCTTATAGCTCAAAAGTTGGCACATTTATGAGGATGCCAGGATAAAGAAAAAGAACAAAATAAAAAAGATTGTTTGCACTTAGTGAAAAATAACTGTTCATGAGGTAATGAGCCTATGGTTTGTGAGGTGTATATATAGCAAGTTATCTTATATCTCAAGAGTTTTTAGCTCTCCGTATTCCTATAAGTTTCGTATAAATTACTCAGCTTGCATGAAAGCTTAAGGATATCTCCTATATATCCTATTATTACAAGTATCTCAAATAAACTTGTGTATCATTTAACATCCATTGATTCATGATGGTTTAAACTTTTTTAACGTTTCAGTTATTTGCAAACAAATTCAGCCATATAGTAGCTACCAGTTATCAATTTCAACAAGTTATTATGTATCAGCTAATAACTTTGTTTTTAACATACATTACTCAATGCACCACACAAATATATGTATATCTAACGACCTACACATATATTTTTTTTTCTAAGTTCTTAGGGTCACATATTGAAGATAACATTTTCTTATCATCGTATATTGCCAAAATATGTAACAATAATACAATCACAATGTCCGTTGGAATAAGCTTTTCGTTGAAATTTTCGTTGGATTTTGATGATTCCAACGGTAGAGGGGTGGCAATAAAAATTCCAACAGAAATTACATATTCCAACAGAAATTTCTACGATAAAAAATTAACTGTTGGAAAAATAGTTGTTGGAATCATCAAATTCCATCTAAAATTCTAATGGAAAACACATTCAAAAGGAATATTTTCATTGAAATTTTCGTTGCAATCATTTTAACGGAAGATATACCATTAAAATATCCGTTGAAATTTTCATTGGAATAAATTACCGTAGGGTTTTCCGTTAGAATATAACAATTTATTTGTAGTGAAACAAACTAATAAGTTATAAGGTAATCAACATAATAAGTTATAAAGTAACTTATTGGGTACCACACACACTCTAACATGATAAATTATATATGTTAGAATACCAAATACACTTTTAAGTATATTAATCTGGTTCTTTTCTACTATTGTGTGACATGAGTAACTTTATCTTGAGTTATCAAATAAGGAAATCAGCAAATTAAAGTCATATATTTACACTGTATCTCACTAGACTAATCACCAAAAATGCTTTACAGTTGGTCAATTATTGTTGAATGATGTTATGAAATAAAAAAAGCTATACCAAGAAGCAACAAAAATCAAATTAAAAGAGGTATATATATGCAACCAATTTATTTACCAAAAAGAAGGGTAAATAATTTTTTCCAACTTGTACTATACGTGTTTTTGGAATTTTCAACCTAAAGTATTTTTTGTTATAAAATGCAACCTGAACTACATATACAGTCATTATTTGCACGCTCGACCACATCTTGACCATACACGTGTCCTTTTTTACAGATGATCGGACGGTCAAAAAGTAGTCGAGGGTGCAAATAATTGTATATATGTAGTTCAGGTTGCATTTTACAACAAAAAATACTTTAGGTTGAAAATCCTAAAAGCACGTATACTACAGGTTGGAAAAAATTATTTACCCCAAAAAGAATTACACGATGGCATAAGTACTCATTACATATAAATAGAAATGCATGGTCACAGATTCAAGCTCAAGTACTGACAGATAAGAGGGAAACTTTGGTGAAAAATCCTCAAAACACTCGAAAATTGAAGGCCCCCACACAATAGTATATCTTGTAAGGCCCTTTATTAAAATACATTTTTCTTTATATTATTTGACTGTAAAAAACAACATACCATCACAGTATTTCTGTCCCCATTACTCAAATATAGTAATTGATCAAAATAAAGAAAAGTCGACCATCAGGTGAACAAATTGACTGCATGTACGAAAAAACTATAAAGATGATCATTAAAATTTGTCACTCTATATATAGACACGCATCAAGCTTCTTTTATTGTCAGGTCCAGTCCAAATAATATGTACTATCAGGTCCAAATAAATGAAATGTCTGACAGAGATTAATTAATAAACCAAAATATCATATATATATATCACGATTAAAAAGATTGGTTATTTAATTTTAAAGTATATTTGTGATGTATGTGAAAACCGTGTAAATTGGTCTCCATTTCATGTAAATGAGAGAGACAGTAGTATGAGTCCTTTCATGGGTAAATGTTGGACATAAAATCTTTCTCGAATCCCAAAATGATCCGAAAACTAACTTAAAAAAGGAAATAGTTTTATCCCCAAATTTCACATCAACAGTATTTTGCATTATTTGAGAGAGAAACAAAGGAGTTATATCATTATTGCGCAGTTCAGTTCAATCTATTTATTGGGTCACCCTTTCAGCTTCTTTTATTTTTTTTTATTTTTGGGCTCCTTAAATTTAAAAGGAAAAAAAAAAAACAATTAATCACTTGTGAAAACAGGCTAAACCGCTAAAGGCTAGAGGTGTATTAGAGAGACTCGTCACTCATCAGTCATGACCCAATAACTAAAAATCTTCATAACAAAATTAGGGTTTTGGGGGATTTAGGGTTTCTCGTGTGCCACAGCAGTATATGATGACGTGGTCCTGCCCAATCAGCTTTCGATATCAATTCTCTGCACTTTCGATTTGGTTTGATCCGATCTCTTTTTTTAATCTAAATAAATCTTTTTTTAATCTAATTTCGGAATAAAAATAAAATCCAATTCAACCCCATCATAATTAATTAATTAAATAAATAAATACTTACCGCGCACAGTACTATCCGAGAAAATCGCCGGGTCAGGCCGTTGGCAGCCTTTGGTTACTGGTCACGATGACGTCATCGGCTCTGGGGTTGATCGGACGGTCGATCTCGATCCTCTTTTTCTTGTTCTTCTTCTTTTTGTACGGAATCCCCCTAGCCTTGGCCTGGCACTCCTTGACCTCCCTCAGGTAGACTCGGATCGACCCGTTTCCAAACGGGTTGACCTCGGGCGACCCGCCGTGCTCCTCGTACGCGGCCCTGAGGCGGCCGATTAGGGCGTCGAGGCTTCCCCAGGCCTGGCGGAGGGGGCAGGTGCAGGGGCCGGGCGGGTCGGGCTGCCCGAAGAAGACGCACCCATGCAAGTGGACCTTGGTCTTCCCGAACTGGTCGAGGTACCGCAGGAATTCGAGCACGTGACCCGAATCGCACTGGCTAAGGGGGACCGGCGGCCGGTGGTTCTTCAGGTACTGCCCGAACGTGTTCCAGTCCCTTCTCTTCTGCGACTCGTAACGGCTCAGGGGCGGCGGCGCCGCCGGATGATGGCTAGACGAGGCTTCCGGAGGATTATTGGCCGTAATTGTTGAGTTCATCGGATTAATTTTGAGTTTGGTTTATTTGGACAAAAGAAAATAAAAAGGGGGAGAGAAATAAATGAGGTGAAATGAAACCAAATGAGTGTAAGGTATTTTTCTTTTCTCGCTCTGCTTTTTCTCCTTTTGGTTTTAATATTATTATATTATAAATAATTTTTTATTTTTTTGGCTGAGTGGAGAAAAAGACGAAGATCACATCTGAGGGTATTGAGGGGACATGATATGGGCCCTAATTGGGGGCGCTTTTGATGTGCTAATTAGAATTACAATTATCATCACCAAAAGACTTGTACCTCATTTGCATTTGTTTCCACTAATAAAATTGTTCCGTTGTCTTAACCTATAGTCGTTAAGCGTATTAATTTGGTGTGTGTGATTATCACTTATTCAATCTGTTTATAAATTAATTAGTGTAGAGCCCGCGCGTTGCATGGTGGAGTTTATTCTTCAAAACTTTTTTTTAAAACTTTTTTTTTTTATTTTTTTCATCGAAAATTAGTCACTAAATTATGGAAATAAAGATAAATAATATGTATGAAAACTCATATATTATTAAACACTTCTCCATACACAATTTTCTTGGTTTAATTTTCTGTCAAACCTTCTTCTCCATAAATTAAAATTTTCAAACCGTTTCTGTAAGTCTTGGATTTTTAATTTTATCAAACACTTCCCTATACACGATTAATTTTGAATTTTACCTCATAAGAAAGTCTTAAATTTCAGAAACAGTGTCAACGCCAATCAACAATGTGACATCTTTTGAAGTCGTTACTTGAATTTCATCTAATGTACAAATTAAAGTAAACAATTATTAATTAAATAAGTCCATAAATCTATGAATGTTAAACTAAAAATCCTTTCAATATATAACATGTTGTGATATGGTATGTGATATGGGTACTGTTGATAAAGTTGATAAATATATAATAGAAATCGTATAATGTTGTATGTTATACATTTTTTTATTTAAATTGGAAGGTAACGTTTGTCAAACAAATTGTGACATTTGAATTCATCTCTTTTTTACGGAATTTTGGTAAACGGTAGTTCATGTGATTGAAATTGTATCATGTTATGATTTATATATATTTTATTTCTAAATAAATTGGAATGTCACGTTTGGTAAACAAATTATAACTTGTGAATATAAATCAAAATTTACAATGAAAAAAAAAACGATTTTGATTTTGATATTCAAAATGAAGTTCACTTTTTCAAATAATGTTTCTAATTTATCAATGATTTTATGGCAATTAAAGATCGTGTAAATATTGCAAGGAAACATATGAATTATCAATGTCAAACAAAATCTATTTCGTCTTTTTACATATGCAATCAGATATACATCAACAAAATCTGTAATTTTTTTGGAATACTCGAAAAAATCAAACAGATTGCACAGAATCTGTAATTTATTTAGAATACTCGAAAATTCAAACAGATTTCATAGAGGCGGAATTTTTCAATTTTTTTTTGAAAAAAAGTTTCTTAGTTTAGTATTTATGAAATTTTAAGCGGGAAACCAAATGATTTTTTTATGATTTTTTGTTACTATTTCTGATAAATATCATTACCTCTTTATATATTAATAGATGGCGCATTAAGTTTTTGTTTAGATAATATTTAGGATACTTGATATTTAATTAATTATATTTTTATTAGCTATTTTTGTCNGTAGTTATTTCATTAATGTGGTTTGGTAACTATATTATCTACAGGTTATAATTATTAGTTTCCTAACTAACAAAGGCTCCACCTCAATTCGTGTTTGGTCGTTTTTTTGAATAATGTTAACGATATGAACTTTCGTTTCCATATCACTACAAAAAAATATGTTACATTCCAATGTAAAGTCCTAGGGTAATATATTCCAATGGAGATTCTAACGGATATTCTAATGGTATAGTTCCGTTGGAATGATTCCAACGGAAATTCTAACGAAAATATTCCGTTGGAATGTATTTTTAATTGGAATTTTAGATAGAATTTGATGATTCCAACGGTTATATTTCCAACGGTTTTTCACTGTAGGAATTTCTGTTGGAATTTTTATTTCTACCACCATTGGAAAATCTACTATTGGAATCGTCAAAATCCAACGGAAATTCCAATGGAAAACTCATTCCAACGAAATATTTTTGTAGGAATTTCCGTTGGAATAATTCCAACGGAAATAATAACATTTAAATATCCATTGAAATTGTTGTTGAAATTCTATTAAAATATATTTTCGTTGGAATTTCATTATTTTATTGTTGTGTATCATATCTCCTCAGAAATGCTATGGAGCCATCGGATGGTTCTCTCTTAGAGTCATCCATAACTTTAGGTATTGACACGTGTCCAATGTGTATTTATTGCAGGACACGTGTCAATACATCATTTGTGGATAACTATGGATGGCTTCATAAGCCAAGCCATCCGATGGCTCAATAGCAAAACCGCATATCCCCTATATTTAATTAAATAACGTGTTCGCATTGATTTAAAATCCAGACCGGTCATTGACCCGACTGGACTCAGGGTCATCGGTGTTGGATTTTAGACGTACGAACCTAGCATACGCGCATCGGAATTTTAAAATTTTTCTTACCAACCACGAAGATCCAGCTATAGCTATTCGATATGATCCTAGATCGCGTGAATAATTAACGAAAACTTACAGTTGTTCGTCTATTTCCTCGACTATGGTATCCACGCAATCCAGTTTTTGGATGCAAGATCTAACGCCAATGAATCCCTTCCGATGAAGAAGCTAGGAATCCTCGATCTGGAAGCTAGAGAATATTTTGTCTTTTGATGTTGATCTCTCCTCGATCTCTAAGATGTTTGGGGTCACTCAAAGTGTTTCTCAAGACATCGCCCAATAGGCAATTTGACCTAATTCATGTTAATAATTTAAATAAATATAAATCTAATTTAACGTAATTAAATATATATATTATTAAATAAATGTAAATCTAATTTAACTTAATTAGATATATATATATATATATATATATCGCTTTTATATATAATCAAAATGCGTTCAGCCTAAGTGGCAGATTCGTATGCTTTGTAAGCTTATTTGGCATAAATTTGTGTTTCGTATGGATAAATGTGCAGGTTTGTTTTTTACTGTTAGGCTTGAAAATTATCATAAACTATTTTAGTTTTTTTTTTTTTTTTAAGTTACCATATACTATTCTTACATTTTTTTATTTAATTCATATACTAATTATTATAAACATGTATACTTTTTATTTGTAAAACTTTATAACTTTTTCATTTGTGTTTTATTTTTTATATGACATATCAAAATAATCATATTTTAACAATCTTCGATTTCACATCCATATTGCATATATAAAATAAAACTAATTTCAACTATCTTTATAAATAAAAATAATTTTATTATCAAATAACAATATAAATTATTTATAAAAAATAATAAATATTTAATTCATCAATACACCATAAATCACTTTAATGTGTTTTTTTTTTTCATACATTATGGATAGAATATATGAATAAAGTATTATATAAAATAGATTTGAAGAAATATTATTTCTCGATTTAAATATATTATATAAGTTGAGTTATTATGTTGTTTAAAATAACAAAATAAATAAATATCATCATTAAATATAATAGAATATTTTATGTTACATAAAGTTAAAAAATAATACATTTTTGAGTAAATTAATACTCTAAATTATTAAATAATATGAATTTAAAATACTTAAAAAGTTAATAAACGAGAAACGGGTGCCTCTATAAATATAAAATATAATTACAATTCAATAAAACTTATTTTTTTATGAATTCGAATAAATATATGAATTGTAAATAATATTTGATTTAAACATATATAAATTTAAAATATATTCTTTTGATTAATTTAGTGAAAAAATACGGGACACGTTTTGAATTAGTTATACCTTTGCTAGTTTATTATTGTTGTACTCATCATACATAATTTTACAATAAAAATATAGATTATTTTATTTTTTCATTGTGAAAATATTAATATATTTAATTACACGTGTAGTACACGAGTATTGTACTAGTATATATATAACAATCAAATGCTAACGCATTTATGTTCTTGCTATATTGTCAATAATAAAGCTACTATTAGTAAGTCTAATTGCTAGACTGACTACAAATTTTAAAAAAGATACGTACATACTGCAATGTCATCTATATATACTACCTCATATTCTTTTTAAATGTCATTTTGGCTTTATCAACTATTAACCAAAATAAATTTCGTTTTGGATCTTTTGTACATATTTTTTCATTATTACCTTCATTTAGTTAATAAATACACTACGTCTTTTCATATTCTCTTCATCTTTTTTTTTTTAAAACATCCATCTCTATCTTCATTAATGAGGGTTATTATTGGCAAAAAAATTATTCTTAATTAGTGTGCAACTTCCCAAAACGACACTTATTATGAATAGGAGGGAGTATATAAAAAGTCATCCTACTTACTAAAATTAGTAGCAAGAAAAGTCAAAGGACAATTAATGCATTCTATTTCCATCAATTTTTACAATTGTATTATTATTTTATTGCTAAAAAACCGGTTTGTATTAATTCATCCTTAATTGATGTGTTTTGCAATAAAATCGGACAGATAGACTTCAAGTAAAAACATGCCTCATTTCAAATTTAAATTTAAATATTAAAATTTCTTATCATTTTGTTACATTAAAATCCTGAATGAATTGTTTGCCATAAAATCGGACAAAATAATAATTGCATAGAATTCAACTAAAAACATGTCTCATTTACAATTTAAATTTTAAAATTCCTTATCATTTTGTTACATTTCCGAATGATTGGTTTCCCATAACATCGGACAGAATTAATAATTGCATAGAATTCAATTATGATTACGAATTTATATCAAGAATTTTTAATAATTGCATAGAATTTCAAAGATGTTTATTCATTATAAAAAAATTATATTCTAAACAAACATTCGTCTATATTTTGTAAAATGTTTGTACAAAATGTTTTACTTTAAATTTATTTACATAATTTAAATTAATTACATTAATAAATAATATGAACATACACTAAATATTTTAATTACATAAAACAAAAAGAAGAAGAAGACTGCATCTACAACTTGTATAAATAATAATAATGACATTATATTACAATAAATTTTGTAATAAAATAATATGAGTATTATACGAGGAACAAGATTACGTAAAATTGTTATTTTTCTTATATCAAGAAATAAATATATATAATGAAATCAAATTTACATTATTATAAACATGTGAGCGAGATAATATATTAATTAATTTACGGGCTAGCGCTACCAGACTCAGGTTTAATGTTCCGACAAAAAAATGACGTTGATGAAAAGATGTAAAAAGATAGATGATCAAACTCTGTTATTTTTTAAGTCTGAACGGACAAGCCTTATGGTTTACTCATTTAATATCTCTCGTGAATCGCACGAGTTACTTAACGGACAAATTCTGTGGAAATGATTCATTTCGTCCCGTGCATCGCACGAGCTACGTATTAGTATTACTAAAAACAAGATAAATAAGTATAAATATATTTCATATAACACGTGCATTTTTTAATTTGTGATGAGTCAACCAGACTGATCTTTAGGCTATTAAAAATATTTATGTAAATTTCTCACGTTGTTAATTTTTTAGTCCATATTTTGATTGATTGATTATGGTGTAGTTATCAATTATTTGAGAAACGTGTTCGCCAAGATTGAAACTTGTAACTAACCATGTTTGAATTAGATAGCCTCAATTAGTACTACCACTAATTAAACCGTTGAAATTGATGGGTGAAAAAATCGCTATCAAGCTTATCGATTGAATTGCCTTGCTTGCTCTAACGGAGTCTTCTTTAATCAAGGAATATACACAAATCCTCTAAGATATCTTTTAGTACTATTTTGTAAAACTTGATGAATATTTTGATTAGTATCATATATTTTATTTTAGATAAATTGACTAGTGGGCTATCGAAAGCTGGGCTTGGCTGAAAAATATCTTATCCTTCCCCTACGCCCTAAGAAGGGAGAAAAGGCCTCATTTCGGCCATAGAAATACGGGATTCAGCTAATCGTCTTCCTTTATACAATTCGTCACTACCTTTCCTATTCTTCTGAAAAGACAATCAATGTTCCACTGCCAAAGAGATTGGAGAGAAAGCGACTCACAACACCAATTGCATGAGCAATATCCGGCCTTGAAAAGAGACTGGACCGGAGGACAACCACACCAACTCGTAACATGAAAAAAAAAAACCCAAAGTTCCCCTGAGAGAAAGAAATGAATTCCAAAGATCTTGGGCTCGTTCCTGGGCTTGGCTTATCGCCTACTCCTGCTGGTGAAGAGGAAGGCAAGGTAAGAAGGAAGATCTTGGCGTCTCAGGGTCGATATAATTGAGAGAAGTAGTTGTTTTCGCGTTTCGAGTTGTTGTCACAATTGAATCATCATAGGTATAGCTAAGTGTTCCATTAACTGGTCTTTCAGGTCTTGTTGGTGTGATCGTATCTTCTGTGAGAGGAGGCCTGCTCTAGAGAGCCATTTCTCGCGCCATGACCAATATGAGCTCGAACCTTCCTTCGTAACTCCCGGAACTTCTTCATAGTGGCTCCCTCTTTTACATCTACACCCAGTTTATCCATATTTTTGGAAATGATAAAAAAAAATCTCATCATAAGCAGGGCGAGTCCCAGCTTTTATTAAATATCTGGGCAATCGGCGGGTCAGGATAAACAATTGTTTAAAAGAAAAAATAGGACCCACCTTCATCCGATAGTCAGTATCACATCGACTGCCCAGAGCGCCTCCTCTCCTTTCCAGAGACTTCACTGCGCTTCGAAAAGTTTGTTGGGCCACACACATTTCTAAATTCTTCACTCATGTCAGTCATATTTATTCATAGGTGGGAGACTGTTGACGCGTTCGATCAAGATAGAGACAAGCTGGCCTATGATGTGTGACGATGGTGAGGTCTTTTTAGCCAGAGCTAATCCCCGAGGACGGAATCAAAAAAGATGTCAATTTTACGAGAATCGAAACCAAGAAAGATCAAATTTATATAATGACTGGAACTGCTCCCTAAGACCCGGTCGTTCTCCCGTGAGCTATGTTGTGATGGGATAACCGTTGAGAAAGAGGCTTGCTGACGATGCATATGAACAATAGATAGAGTCAAGTCACTGCGCTACTGCCCAGCCCTAGTGCTAAGCTAAGAAGTGAAAGAGAGCCGGGGAGAGGTAGAAAGTTACCGGGTACGCAAAGGGGTCTTTCTTTGTTAGCCGGGGGCCGCGGAACACAAGAACAATCCGTCAGACTGAAGTTCCCAAGCAGAACTTTTGATGACCGTGGCTAATTCCGCTTCCGCAAAAAGTCTTCTTTCTAAGCTGAAAAACGTGGAATTTCAATGATAGCCTAGGAGGGAACGTAGTAGCTTTACGAAGGGCCAAAGGGCCTAAGGAGGTACGAAGTTAGTCGAGTCCGCCGAGAGGTGCAAGGCTACTCGAGTGAAGCGAGAGGTACGAAGTTACTCGACTGCTGGGATCACCAATTAAGATTTGTTCGACACCGGTCAAGTCAAAGATGACGAAATTGGACGTCCTTTGTAGTCTCCGAGTGCAGAGGTTCCTTCTTTTTTCTCTCGCAGAGCCGTATATTCTTCATCTGCTTTGTCCGGCTTGAACCCAAGTCGCCCTTAAGGGTACATAGAGATCAACTGATTGTCCGAAAACTGAATTCCGAATCTAGCCTTACATAGAAGGTAAGTCTCAGTAAGAAGGTTTGGAATCCTGCCTTATACAACCTACTTCCCTAGAGACCGGCGTATACTGATCAAAAGGTTTGGTATCCTTGTCCGGATCTTACTCTCCGGCATAAATAACTTTAGACGGATAAAATCAAAGTCGAAGTGGAAAAATAGGCTTGGTGAGATAATCTCTCTTAGGTCTTAGCACTATTCCTAGTCTCGATAACCCATAGGCGGATTGAAAACTGGGCTCTATCTCTTCTACCGGGACTGGAATAGCCAAGTCAGCTGGAGCTGATGTTGGTAACCTGATTTGATTCTCGTGTCGTAAGGCATCATATGGAATGTCAAGTCGCCTCTCGCGGACTGAAAGCAAAGTGCTTAGTAAGAAAGATGAATCCGGAATTGGATGATGATTGATGGACAAAGGGTTCTGATTCTCCTAGTTCGGATGGAACCCCTGACGAGACGGAGAAGAAAAGAAGCACTTGACTTTATAGGGTTCATCTTCAAGTTGTGAGGTCTGAGTTCACAACTGACACGTTTTCGTCATTGTGTGTGACGTCCATAGCATTTCTGGTCGAACCCGCCTAACCCAACTAATGAAAAGTTTCTAGCAGAAAGAGCCCACCTCGGATTCTTCATAGCGACAAGAGGCGGTCTGACTAATGTGGTATTTTACCTGAAAACAAATAATATGAAAAGACCGGTTCTCTTCAGTCTTTCGTTCCTCTCCTTGTAAGTCGAGTGTATTCTAACCTAGCTCTTCCCATTTTCCTCACTACAGATTATAGAGTGTTCTGTGCAATCCTTTCCACTCAGGCAGTAAGGAGAGCAAAGTGAGACTCTAAAAACTTTTCGAAGCGCAGTGAAGTCATAAGTATTGGCGAAGTGAAGTCATAAACAAGGAGTTAACTGGCATGGATGACACCATTAATCTCACACCTAAGGTTCGCTTCGCTCTTCTTTATAGTCCCCACTTTACTTGATAGGGCCATCAAAGCAGCAACTTAGACCAATAAAGAAGTCAGATACCGATTTTCCCTTAAACTTGATAGGGCTAAAAACCTTCCTCTCCGAACCGGGGCAACCTTTCGATAACCAGTAAGCAATCTCCTAAGTGACCCTATCAAGTAAAGGCTGCTAGTGCGAACTGGGTAGCTAATGAACGCTCCGGGGCATTCTACCGTTCATGCCCTGCACAAATTAGCCGAATAACACTCCACTCATGACCCTTCCTTTCTTTCTAGCGGGGCATGAATCTCTTCTGCTTTGAAAGCACAGTCGAAGGTGAACAAGAGCGCCTTATTCCGACTTCGTTACCCCCGAAAGACTCAACCCTACGCTCTCGAGGGATAGTTGACTTTTTTGTTGGTGTCAAAGTTGCGGATGAACATGGGATTGATCCGCTGTGGATCTAGCATGTGTGAATGTAGCACTCTCGATAGGCCAATTTGTCTGAACAAATGCCCGAACCAAAATATGTTATTGCTATGGGAGCATGTACAATTACCGGAGGGATGTTCAGTACCGATTCTTATAGTACTGTTCGGGGAGTCGATAAGCTAATCCCCCATGGGCCCAAGTACTCTGGCTCTCATAGCCGCGGAAGAATGAACCGAAGGATTCAAACGTGGAGTTTTTTCCCACTTATGTACTGGAGCAATACGATATTGAGCAGGATTGCAAGCACTATTAGGGTTCCTAAGGTGACGGATGGGTTGACTCCGCAACGAAAGCGTATCTCCTTTGCCCTGGTTGAAGCAAAGGTGTTTGATAAATTGCCTGACTCAGTTGAGCTCCAAAACCCTATTAATGGTGTGATTTTCAAACACCGGTTCTGATGCCTGGTTCCCGAGGAGCGTGTCCACGAGTGCATAACCAACCATTCGCTTTGAATGCCGCTTGTTCGCCACTATTAAAGATTGCTCCTACCCTTTACTAGTCGTCCCTTGCTACTAAAGCCAGGTTTGTCCGTATCTGTGTCGAGGAGGATCTGCCTCTTTTGACTAAAGTCAGAGTGGGGAGTGCACCAGCTTGCGATCCAGCCCTTTCCTTTGCCGATCTCCTCGCTCAGTAACGGACCAGATCGACCCTTTACTCAAATAATCTATCTTCTGGAACTGGCACACCGGCTAGAGGTTACGGGCAGTAGTAAGAGTCTCCCGAGCTAGGCCGCCTCTTTTAGGGTTCCAAACCTCGCTTCTGGGATGGGCTCGCTAGCTCGAGGTTTAGAGTGAATCAACAACCCCTCTTCCTATACGACACCAACTAAAGGATCCGCCGACGCCTCCCATAGTACAACCTATGTTTTTTCAGAGGCCAGTCAAAGAGAATATATGAGAAGGGGTCTTCAAGCTTAGCTATTAGATATTGGAAAAGAGATTCTTTGATGTCCACTCGGTCCTATTTTTTCGTTTAAACAATTGTTTATCCTGACCCGCCGATTGCCCAGATATTTAATAAAAGCTGGGACTCGTCCTGCTTATGATGAGATTACTCGACTGGACAACGAGTTGAGGTCTTCCTAATGGGCCGGGAACAACCAAGAAGCGAGCGGGGGTATGCAGTGTGACTTATTACACTCAATCTAAAAGCGAAAAGAATGGATGCCTGAGATCTTTTATTTCAGTTGGAAATCGGAGTATACTAAAAAAAGCTCCCTACGGTACAAACGAAGCGAAGCGAAATGAAGTCATAGACGTCTTTGTTAACCAAAAAAAAGGTAGAGATTTTTTATGGGACTTTAATCTTTCCTGGCAGGGAGTTGGCCAGAAGAATGTCTTTATTAAATACATGTCCGAGTGAGATAGGCTCGATATAATTGACCAGCCATTTTCTTGCTTGGTTGCATATGGGCCTCGAAAGGTTTGTAATGAAACCCTTCACAGGAATCTTTCGTATTTCAATTTTCTTTTATTTCTATGCTTCTTGCATCGCCGGATGATTGCTATCTCTTATTCTAACTCTCTTTAGGCCACGAAAAGCCTGCTAAATTTCTTTCTATCTTTGATTAAATGAGCGGAAATAGATTGGATTCCTTGAGCGAAGAGAACTTTTTTATTACATTAAATTAACCAGTTAAGGAAGAGTGTGGAAATGAGTTATTCCAAGAGTTTCCCGCTTTGATCTTCTCAATAAATAGCGTAGATAATGGAAGCAAGCTCAGGAGACTCTAATCGATTCAATGGTGCTGAACCAACTCGTGCTCGAACAAGCACTCTATCTAATGTGACACGTTCCCTCCCAGTTATATGATCAAAGGGATCAGTCGGCTAGAGAGCGGGGATATTCTTCTTCCGGGGAGACAAAATCGTCCCTTCTACTGACCGAACCCTCAGTTCGGAGGTCTTCGTCAACATGTTACGAAGCTCCAGGCTTCGGCGTCTTATTCCTAGCTCCTTGACTTAGAAAGCCAAAGATCTGGGCAAGGTCAATTATATCGAACCTGGTGCAAATGGCTTTCTTTTTTCATGATATACCGAGTTACGGGATTGACCCATAGCAGGCGTCGAGTCACGACCCGTCCCCTTTACTTGATAGGGCCGAGCCCGTGACAATCGCAGCGTCCACCTCGAGCCACACCCTGCCCCCAAACCTCCATCAACTCTTATTTGGAATCGCCGTGCTTCCTTCTAAGGAAGAGCAACCAACTCTCTCGTACATTCAAGTAGCCCTCCTCTATAGACTACCCGAAAGGCTCCAATGAAGGATGTCGAAATCAAGATTGTTGGGACTCCTTGATAGCCGATCGGCCTTTGTGCCAATATGTTTGGATGGGAGAGTCTGTCCGGATAGTTTGCCGATCGGAGAGTCGTGAGACCCTGTCGTCAACAATCGGGGAAGCATTGGCTAATCTGTTCACCCTTTATACCGACCAGCTGTGGTGGGACATCAGGAGTTGCGGGAAATCTTTAGAAGCTCGGGCAAAATAGCGTCTTTTACACGTGAAAAATCCCTGGCGACAGGCTCTAATCATTAAGCTGGATGCTAGATTTGTTGCCTTAAAATTATTTACTTTGAAATTCGATTATACACATCGATCGACGTTCTTCATAGTACCCAATAAGATCAACCGAGTCAAATGGGTCAACAATGTTTCGATTGGAAAATGTTCTGAATGCTCGGACAGACTCAGAGTCAACGAAGTCTTAAATTAAGAAAACACCACACAAAACACTCAGTTATTTTATAGCTTCAATGTCATTGATACTTGTAACAATTGTTTATATCCATTTTTCTATTTACTTTTCTAGCACTAAAAAAAATAATCAAACCTGCTTTATTTATGCTAAATAAATTATTTAATATATATTTAATAGTTTTTATTTTATAAGATAATATTAGGCCCGTTTGAAAAACTTCAATTTTTTTATTTTATATCCATAGGATGATTATTGTTTATTTTATATAAGAGATCATCATGTAATTTGATATATGTCATATGAAAAATAAATAGCAAACAAAGAATTCTTTTAAAGGAAAACTATATATGGATTGACCTTATAAGCTCTTCCAAACATTCCTAAACCATCTTCTTTCAACCTATTTTTTTTTTAATTTTTTTTTAACGATTTCCTGTCTATATGATCATATTAAGAAGATTAAAAGAATTAGTACCAATTCAAAAATATTATGTCTTTGATAAGACATCATAATTGGGATAACAAAAAAGACTAAAATATATATCCATGACATGAGTATCAATTTCGTGTTTACCCATTTATTCGTGTTAGTAAGCAACATCCACACACAAATTAAATAAAAAAAAAAAAAATACATATTTCCATTTTCTATTATAGAATGGAACAACCTATTTCACATTATTTTGGAGATTTGTCTTAATGTGTTCATAATTTCCTCTGTTTTACCTATTTCGGCAACCAAGGGGCTATTTGTTGGAATTATATCATCTCTTAGGAAACTTCCAATGGTTCGGACCATCTCTTCTGAACCCTTTTTAACAACTCCTTTTAAAATGAGAGTCTTATGTGTTCCAGATATCATTTCTTCATAATCTGTGTCACCTGTTTCTCCCAGAATCACGTACATATTAGCCACGTTAACTTGCCAACGGACAAAGAGGTACCTGTTTGATTGGCAGTCGAATAGAAATTGACAAGTACCATTCAAAATTATGATCCAAGTCTAGGTTAATTTTACCAATTTTAAATGTATATTTTTTTTTTTTTCCTACACCGTAATTTAATCTACTTTCGTTTTCATGACTTGTTCTCCCTAATAGAGACAACAGGAATGGGAGAAATCAGGTTTTACTAGAAGAAGAAGAATTTTTGTTTAATATTTAATCAATACAAAGTTTCAGAACATACAAGTTGTGGTTGATATAAATAAATTTAATTCTTGCCTTCAGATATATAGAGAAGATAAAAAATAAGTTAACTCCAAATTAGATATTTTCAAATACTTTACAATATTCCTGAGTTAGATAGCAAAGAAAAGAAATGTTTAATGTCCGAATTAATAATATTCAAATACTTCAGAATAATCCATGCTTCAATTCTTAATAATAATAATAATAATAATAATATGCTAGTTAAATTACCTTAGTGCCTGTGAGCGAGAGGCCATTAGAGGAACAACTTGCATCCTTGTGCAATTTCTACAATACATTAAATGGCAGCGTAGACCTCTCATTCTTAGTTTCTGTCTCAAATCATCCACCTTTCTTGCCTGAAAAAAAAATATATAAAATCAAAATTACATAAGATATACCACCAAAAAATTTTAAAATTTTCCTCTAATCCTCTAGACACATCATTTTCCC